TCACATTTGTGTCCCCGGTGTCACAGAGTGACCTGCATGTGTCACATGTGTGTCCCCGGTGTCATGGAGTGACCTGTATGTTTCACATTTGTGTCCCCGGTGTCACAGAGTGACCTGCTTGTGTCACATGTGTGTCCCCGGTGTCACAGAGTGACAGTGACATCTCCAGTGCTTGTGTTACCTGTCACAGGGGAACCTGACACTGCTCCTCTCTAGCTGACATACAAGTACCTGCAGATACATATGGACTCTACAGGCTCCATACCTCCATGACCCACCTGATCACTCATCCATCTATTTATTATTTATACATTCATCTATCTACCTACCTGAACTGTACTTACATATATACAGTATATATTCTGTACCACAATGTGCATCTCTGTATTTGTCTATCTATCTGATCAATATCTTATCTATATCTTGTATCATCACATCTTTCTTTTCTTTCTTTTTTCTCTCTTTCCTTTTTTCTTTTTCTTTCCTTTCTTTCTTTCTTTTCTTTTTTTCTTTCTTTCTTTCTTTCTTTCTTTCTTTCTTTCTTTCTTTCTTTCTTTCTTTCTTTCTTTCTTTCTTTCTTTCTTTCTTTCTTTCTCTCTCTTTTTCTCTTTCTTTCTCTCTTTTTTCTCTTTCTTTCTTTCTTTCTTTCTTTTTTCTTTCTTTCTCTCTCTTTCCTTTTCTTTCTTTCTTTTCCTTTTCTTTTTTACTTTCTTCCTCCTTCTTTCCATCTATTCATCTAGTGTGTATCAAAATTTACAGCTATCCCTGTATCTTTCTCGTGTTCCAACATTTATCTATCTATCTATCTATCTATCTATCTATCTATCTATCTATCTATCTATCTATCTGAACTGTTCCTATTTATAGAGTATTTATACTTCTGAATATTTTTTATATATATATATATATATATATATATATATATATATATATATATATATATATATAAAAAACATTCTTTACCACAATTATTTATTTATTTATGTATCTATCTATGTTCAGTATCGTATCTGTGTCATGTGTATCAACATCTATGTATCATTCTATCAATCATTCTATCCCAAACTATTCGGAGAATTCTGACAGCACATTACATGACCATACAGCCGGATTCTCATTCCAGGTGTGTCTATATCTGCATTCGTTTATGTATTACAATTTTCCCATGACTAGCATACACCATACATGATGACCGATCAGCCTGTGTGTGCGATCTACAGCCAGATGAGATATAAAGTCGATACAATAGTAATGGTCAGACTGTGACATGTCGTACAATGTAATGACTGCGATGATCTGCAGATCTGCCATCAGAAGGCAATGCAGACACTGCATCTTAGTAAGGTCCAGCTCTGTGCAGTCCCATGCAGTCCTAGCCCGGGACAGTCTGGGGGTGACCAGCAGAGAGAGGTGTCATGGTAAAGTTAGTGGGGCTCCCGCATTATTCTGCTGTCAGCAGGGAAGAAAAGTTTGTGAGAAGCTTCCAGATGAATGGTGCAGAGGAACTTACTTTTGGGATGGTCCCCCATTGCAGCCAGGAAGGGATAAGGGACGATGAGATCCACCATACAGCTGCAGTGTGATGCTGGAGAGAGGACAGGGAGCCGGAGCCGCAGGATCCTGCTCACAGCTCCCAGGACTGGAGCCTGCACTGGAGACTGGACTGTCCCACGCACGCTGCATGACGTCACGGCGCACAGCCAAGGGGCTCTGCCCCGGGCTTCAGCACTGACAGCAAAAGGGGCGTGCCCCTGAATGTTAGGCGCTGATTGGCCGCGAGTTTAAATGGGCAGCTTATTAGAGAAGTGCCAGATGTTCTATCATGTTCTCTTCATAGAAGGCATCATCTGGGTGATTGGGATAATTTGTGCCAGAGCTTTAATATACATTCTTCACTATAATGACTTTAAAACAGCCCGGGACGCTTTCTATGCATGTATATCTATCCCGCATTGTAAGCTTTTATATAGAGAGTGTTGAGAGTTTTATATTTTCAATAAATCACATTCCAGTAAAATGTATGGCCAGGCAGACAGCTGTGTAGTGTCAATATAATACAGCGACCAGGAGCAGGAAAACAATCATGACATCAAATGGACCAGCAACAATGTCAGCCCTGCACTGGTCCTGATTTACTAAAGAGGTCGCATCCACCTTACACAGCCCACCGACTCTATGTGCTCTATTTATTCATGTAGCGCCCCTGACTACCAGCATGTCTTTGGAGTGTGGGAGGAAACTGGAGTACTTGGAGGAAACACATGCAAGCACAGCAGAACATGCAAACTCCATGCAGACAGTGTCCTGAGAAAAATAGGGACCTCAGTGCTACAAGGCATCAGGAAGATTTTCCTAACACAGGTCGGAGTCAGTCCAAACAATCAATGTTGTATGCAGGGGCGGACTGACAACTCATGGGGCCCCCGGGCAATAGGGGATCATGGGGCCCCTGTGTCCTTGCCCAAACTAAAAAAAGCCTATGAAAAAGGTACCAGGGGCATCTCATGGGGCCCCCTATTGACCCCGGGCCCTTGAGCAGTGCCCGAGTTTCCAAATGGTCAGTCCGCCCCTGGTTGTATGTAACGTGTTTATTGTGATCTCTCAGAAGATGTACGTGGTAATGTGACTATGAGCTTCTCCTCATTGGAAGATTTCCCCTTTCTTACTTTTCTGGGAACAACTCAAAATTTGGTATTTTTTAAACTTTCACTTTCAATGATGATGGTAAACAAGACAAATAGAGAGGGTGAATATCCCTAGTGGGAACGCAGACAGCAATAACAACCTGACAGGGGGTCTAATCCCTCTCCACTCTATCCAAAACACACAAAAAAGTTTTGCCTTTAGTTATATTGTAATACAAGGATGATGATTGGTATTTTAGCCATGTGTAACTTTAAAGTGTTACTAAACCCAGGACCCTGCATTCACTATATCTGGTCTCCCACAGTACACAGAACATGGAAATTCAATTATTTTAGTAAATATAAACTGCTAAATACCTTTTCTCATCAGTAGTTAGAGCAGTCTTGTGACTTCAGCAGAGCACTGGTTAAAGCTTTTAGGAGGAGTTTTCATTCTGCTCTAGAAGGATGCAGAATCCCTGACCTCTCTCTGGACAGTGCTGATTGGCCCTGATCACATGCACTCTCCCCCCCCCAAAAAAAACCCCTCTCTAGCTATACACACTAAACTGAGCATGTGCAGAAGGGCTAGGGTTTCAGTCTGTCTTATCAACATAGACATTTGAACAAGAGGAGGGGCAGAGAAGAAAGGACCAAACAATCTTTTTACACAATGCAGAGGATTAACCCCTTAGGTTCCACAGGGAGTATAACAAGCATGCTTTACTGCATATACAGACTGATTTTACTGTTGTGGGTTTAGTAACACTTTAGGATTGAAAAGATAAGTACACCTTTGGGAACATGTTATATGTTTCACCCGTTTTAGGGTGGAACATGTAACACGTTCCAAATGCTGCAGCCGCGTCCACTGCCCCCCTCTGATAGATAGTATGGGGAGAGGGTTCCCTGTACTATCTGTCACGGACTTCCATGAATGAATGAACTACAAGTTCCGGCAGCCTTAGCAACTGTGGGCTTGTAGTTTTCAATGAACTACCACGGTGTGGTGGAGCGCTGTGGTACTTCATTGAAGCTTAATGATAGTATATCTGCTTGCTTATACATCCCGTACGGCAAGCAGATATTCTGACAGGTCTGCAGGAGACCTGCATGGCATCAGCCATCTACTGATCACTGGTGCAATGCTTTCCAGGCTCCTGTAGACAAAATAATACATGCACATTTTTTTTACCTGCAAAAAATTGCATTTATTATTTTTGTCCAAAAGGTGAACTTATCCTTTAGAGGGAAATATTTTTTACTGCGATTTTGGTGCACTTTAGGTTGCACAAAAATGCTGTAAAAGAGCATCAATGTGAAAGGCTCCATATATGTCCATCCCTAGATAATAGATAATAATAATAATAATAATAATAGATACTGATAATCACCAGAAATAGGCTTCATAACAAATCATTATTAGAACAACCTGTGTCAATAATGTAGACAATTGGCCATACACTCAGGATATTTTCTAGCAGTTTCAACCTCTTTCAGTCATGAAACCAATTAGGCAACCTAGAACTGACCATATACAATACAATCTGATTGCACAGCTTACTATAGATCTGCAACAACTGTGTGGTGCGATGGTATGTCTGGTTGGATACAAATTGAAGGGATTGCTCAGGTAGGCACTTTCATTACATAGGAGCAGAGTTACTAAAATGGGTACACTCAGAATCTGGTGCAGCTGTGCATGGTAGCCAATCAGCTTCTAACTTCGACTTAATTAATTAAGCTTTGGCAGTAAAACCTGGAAGCTGATTGGTTTCTATGGATAGCTACACCAGATTTTGCACTCTCCAGTTTTAGGAAAAAAAAAAAACCCTACAGTGTTAGTAAATATAAAGGGGATTATGCAATCAGATTGTATTATCTACACCCAGAACCGTGCATTCACTCTATCTGATCTCCCACAATACACAGACTATAGAAATGCAATTATTTTAGTAAATATAAACTGCTAAATACCTTTTCTCATCAGCAGCTAGAGCAGTTTTGTGACTTCCATTAGTGTCCAGCAGAGCACTGGTTAATCCTGTAGGAAGTGTTTTCATTTTCTCCTTATTGTCCTATGAGGCTGCAGGACCCCTGACCTTCTGTCCGGACAGCACTGATTGGCCCTGTGCTGATCACATGCACCTTCCCAAAGAAAAAAAATATCTAGCAATACACACCAAACTGAGGATGTGCAGATTGCCTCCAAGGCTCCTGATTGTCCTATGAGGCTGCAGGACCACTGACCTTCTGTCTGGACAGCACTGATTGGCCCTGTGCTGATCACATGCACCCTCCCAAAAAAAAAATCTAGCAATACACACCAAACTGAGCATGTGCAGCTTGCCTCCAAGGCTCCTGATTGTCTTATGAGGCTGCAGGACCACTGACCTTATGTCTGGACAGCACTGATTGGCTCTGTGCTGATCACATGCACCTTCCCAAAAGAAAAAAAATCTAGCAATACACACCAAACTGAGCATGTGCAGCTTTTCCCCGAGGCTCTGTTCTATCAGCAGATGGCTTGGGGACAATAGAAGAAGAGGAGGATCAGAGAAGACAGGATCAAAAATCCTTTTTATACAATGCAGAGGATTAACCCCTTAGGTTTCACAGTGAGTATGACAATTGAAAGCTTTTTTTGTCACAGAAATGACTGAACAAATGGATGCAACTTACCACCATCACTGCCATATAAACAGAAGTATATAAATTATCTGTGATGTGTTGCTTAAACCCCTCCAAAAGCCATGCAATGAAAAGCTGATTGGGTTGAAATCACATGAAAATTGCTGTGTTTATGACAGAGGTACTATCAAAGGTAGATGTATTATATTGTTGATATACATATGATTGCCCATCTTTTACACAGTTCTGGTGAGAGATGTCAGCTTGTGATTTCTTCTTCAAGTAATATCCAGACCCCACATGTCATGCAGTGTCCATACTACTATAGCTCAGAGTACAATAACAGCACAGACCCTCTGCAATCAAATATTAGACTTACAAGAACGTGATGATTGCTGTATTCCACATATACACTGCTTTCTCAGTACACATCCATTATTTTTTTCACCAAGATTTATCGAATTTCCTCCCCTGGAAGAGTTTTATTAACACATTTACAAATTTATGTACACAATTTCGGTATAAAGTAAGAAAAGAGAGAAAAGTGGGGGGCGGGGAAGTCTAGCCATTGCCACTTTAATTGAACTACATTCCTGGTTAGCAGTGTGATGTCCCAGAGCTGCTACAGAGCGCCACCTGCTGGATATATGCTGGAATGGCTCACAATGTGGTTAAAATTGGTTAAAGAAAACATTCAAGATTAAGTCTGTGAGCCTCTGTTCATTTCAACTGAAGAAATCAGCTATAAAAATAATTGCAAATAAAATCTTTTATTCTACTGTAAATACAGATTTACCTGCCCAAATAATTTTTTTCAGAAAATACCTTTCCATGATTAACAATAGAAATCGCCTCCACGTTCTTTTTAAATGCAGACTATTCTCATTATTCAATTTAATTTATTTCCATATCCCCGTTCAATATTATTATCATAATCATCATTATTATACAGGATTTATATAGCACCAACAGTCTGTACAGCACTTTACTAAATAAAGGGTGACAGTACAGGTACTGTACAATACAAGACATGATGGTCGGGTGGGCCCTGCTCCTAAGAGCTTGCAATTTCCATACATTCTCAGATTCAGCATTACTTTTCACAGTATGTACCATTTCCTTGGTAGTAGGGATATAACATTAACTTCAGTCATATACAACACAATCTGTGCAAGTAATGTGATCACCATCAAACACAAGGCATGGGAATATGGGGCCTTTATAGAAGACATTAATACCCATCTCTGAGCATCAGCACATGGAGCAAATTCAACCATGGGTCAAGCCAGAAGGAAGGCTGAAGCAGATCACGTAGTATGGGATCTCAGTGCTGTAAGATGTTGGCATGTTATGTTCTTGATGCAGGCAGCAATATCAGTACAGAGAAAACCTCAGGGTAGGAGGTGAGATTAAACAGCTAAGTCCTCATGCACACTGGATATTTTTACAGCGGCTGTTTTTGGTTTTTGGCATTTTTATCTATAGCCAGTAAACTCCCCAGCATGTTATCCTATGTGTTCATGCACACGTAGGCTTTAATCAGCGTTTTTTGGCAGGAGCGTTTTCTGCCTGGAAAAACCCCCCAGAACTAGTGGTTTTCAAGAGGAGCTTTTTTAGCTGTAAAAATGCTCTAATGCTGATAAAAGCTGAAAAATGCTAAAAAATGCTTTTATGAGCATTTTTGAGCCTGAAGATTTTGTGGGAGTATAACTTTGCTAAAAAATGCATATGCTGAAAAACACTTAAAAAAAGCTGAAAAAAGCTAATGCAAAAAGGCTAAAAAACGCAAAAAAACTCACATTTTTATTGCAGCATTCAACAGCTGACGCTACTGGCGTTTTCATAATGTCCAGTGTGCATGAGGCCTGAGTCCTCATGCAGCCAAAAAATGCTAATTACAGTCTATGTGTGCATGAACACCTAGGATAACATGCTGGGGGGTTTACTGGCTGTAGAAAGAAACGTCAAAAGCCCAAAACAGCCGCTGTAAAAGCGTCCAGTGTGCATGAGGGCTAAGGGCTCATTCTCACATGCAGAATCCCTTGTCACCTATCTGAGAGGCAATCTGTGGTGGATTGCTTATCAGAAGCATTTGATAGGCAGAGAGGAGGCAATGTGTTGCCTCCTCTCTGCCTGTTTTAACCCTGAAAATGCTGACCCTCCATGCTGCAACAGCATGCATTGCAAGCAGTTGCAGGGTGGTTGCGGTGCAGCTCCATTCACTTGAATGGGTCGTGTTCGACTGTGATACCATCTGCCAAATGCTACATGCCATTTATTGTTTGCCGCAGCCATGGCATGTGTGCAGTCCTGAGCATCTACATGCCCTTGTTTAGTGGGTGGTCAGGGGGAGGAAAAAACGCATCTAGACCTCCTGATTTTATGGTGCCCTAGCCGCATGTCTGAACAAGTCCTTAGTGTGGCCTCGAAGAAAGAATCATTCTTTACAGCGTCCATACAGTTCCATGGTTCTGGTGCTAAAAAACTATGTACTATGCATTTGAAGATGGACCTGTCACTCTGGGTGAGGCATCTGCTTATCTATTGCCGGCTTTAGGTGATCTTATAAGGATAACTCATGGAAATGTCCCCAAATGTATGTAAAATTTGTAAGTTTTTAGGTTTGGAAAGAGTAGAATAGGAGGTGATCTCTAGAAGGAAAGGGGATATCTGGAATTAAGAATTTTGTCAAAGTTTTTTAATTGTAAGCAGTGTGCCCCCACAGGGGTATGGGACCGATTTCCCTAATAATAAAAGAAAAACTGCTCTAACTTTTCCAAAGACACAGTTACAATGACGGTAAACTAAAATAGGAGGTGATCACCTCTAGAAGGAAAGGAAAGAGAGAGAATCTAAGAGGGAATATGCAGTTCAATTTTGGGCACCAATTCACAAAAAGAACATTGGGGAACTGCAGAAAGTACAGAGAAGGGCAACCAAACTGATGAGAGGCATGGAGGAGCTCAGCTATGAGGAAAGATTAGAGGAATTTAATTTATTCTCTCTTGAGAAGAGGAGATTAAGGGGGGATATGATCAACATGTATAAATACATCAGAGGTTCATATACTGAACTCGGTGTAGAGTTATTCACCCTGAGGTCATCACAGAGGACAAGGGGGCACTCTTTACGTCTGGAGGAAAAGAAATTTAATTTCCAAACACGGAAAGGTTTTTTCACAGTAAAAGCTGTGAAAATGTGGAATAGACTCCCTCAAGAGTTGGTTCTAGCCAGCTCAGTGGATTGCTTTAACAAAAGCCTGGATTCTTTCTTAGATACTCAGAATATAACTGGATACTAACATTTCTAGGTAAAGTTTATCCAGGAAATATCCGATTGCCTCTCGAGGGATCAGGAAGGAATGTTTTCCCCTGCAGGAGCAAATTGTATTGTGCTTTGCTGGTTTATTTGCCTTCCTCTGGATCAATTGTGGGATAGGATTATAACTTTTTTTTTTTTTAATGGTTGAACTGGATGGACTTTTGTCTTTTTTCAGCCAGACTAACTATAGGACTATGACTATGACTATATCCCTCTCTTATCCTGCTCCTGTGATAACGCAAAAATATTACATTTCCCATCACTTTCTGTGTAGAAGAAAATCATTACCAGGAGCAGGTTGAGTCTTCCCAGTGCAGAGACAGATAGCAAAAAAAATCTGTCAGAGATTCTATCCCTGCTCTACGAAATAAAAAATTTTGATTTAAAATATTTTACATACACTTTAAATTTCTGTATAAGTAGCTTTTTAAATTTCCTATGAAGTAGTGGTAATTAGTATTCACATTTCTGTCTATGGAACAGAGAAGGGGATCTGTGTGAAGACACCTCTGGTGCTGGGATACCTTGGGGTAATCAATAGTTATTTATTATGAGTTATACATTACTTTATAGCTAATTAACATATGGATTTTAACTCTGATATAATTATAAATTATTCATCCATACAATTATAGCCTATACATCACACTTCTCTCTGGTCACTACAAATAATGCTACTTTGGAAACTACCCATTTGTACTTTATTACACTGTGGTCCAAGGCAAAATTCCCAATGCGCATGTTTCGGAAAATGGCTAATGGGTGAGTGGGTGCTGTAGTGACCTCCGGCTGGAGACCAGAATGACTTGAAGGGAAGAAATATGGCACCAATCATTCTATAAAGCATTGGACCCTGTTATGGAGCTCCCTGGTGTGCTGGTGGCATATTTACTGCCTGTAAGACTGTAGAACACACCGAAGATTGGTCTGGATATTTCTACTGTGATATTAGTGTTTGGTTCCAGGCAAACATACACTTCTCATCCTGCCCCCCATTCAGAGCAATAGGATGTACTGTTGATTGACATGGAGACTTTGTTTCAGATTGAATCTGTTGGATCCACATAATTTACCAAAAACAAGGGTACGTAATCCAATCAATCTACAATCAGGTAGTCACTGACACTTATAACCTCATAAAAAAAAAGTCACATACGCAGCCAAATAAAGCTACTTTGGAAACGACCCATTGTACCTTATTACGCTGTGGTCCAAGACAATATGTCCAACACGTATGTTTTGGAAAATGGCTAATGGGTGAGTGGCATGTCATAAAAACAAATTCACAAGATGCACTCACAAGACTCACAAGCCCTCTGGGTGGAAGATGCATAAGCCCGGTGGGACAGGGTGGGAAAATTAGCCAGGAAGATGGTCAAGTTGTTGCAGGACTAGGCGCCCCTTGTTTTTTGTGTGCTGCAGTATATCCACCAACCTGAAGGCAAACCATTGAGGACTGATTTTTTTCCATACTATAGGTACCAGACAGCCATTTTGGGGAGGTCAGCATATATTACTGGAAATCTCACAAGATCTGGGCAGCCATGTTGACACAAAGTTATGTATATATAGAAAATTCTGCATCATCTGGTGTGCCTGCAGTCTAGGAGTAAGACAAGGACAGAGCCGCCACTGTTTAGGGAAAGAGTAGGAATAAT